ATAGTGTCTATCTCTATTTATTATACTACTATAGCTCTTCATAGAGGTCTTTTATTTTTTTATCAGCTATTTTTTTTTAAAAAAAAGAAGGAATTTAAAATGAGAAACTTAATTTCAACTTTTTAGCTAAAGCTGAAGCACAAAAAGCAAAATTAGAGAAAGAAGGGCGTAAGTCCCGGAATAAGTCCAAATTTAATTGAAAATAGATACTAAAATAATTATGTAGCAATGTTTAAGCTTCAATTTTTAGTTTAATTTTGGGCCCGCAACCAAATAAAATAATTTATATGCGGACTATAATCTTTATTTGTGCATGAAATACGGAATAATTATAATTTTACTGTGTCCATAAAAGTTGGCAAAGTTGATAAATAAGGCCAAGCTCCAAATTTATCTCTTAACCCGTCCGTTTTAGCGGACAAATTTGCACACAAGAATTCTGGCAGTAATATAAAATCTCGAACAATTGAAAGCTGATAATGATCATTCAGCCGAATCGAAAGTTTAATGCCGGTGAATTAATTTCACCAATATTGTGAGATTATTTTCACCAGTATTTTTAGGTCGACGCAATTTTCAATTTGGCCAAATGATCATATTTTGTACTACTGAAGGAAAATTTGTCATTGGAATTTCAAGTTTATTGCTTACTAAACTTGGATTTTTTAGGGATTGTATGTACTGTATCTACGTAGCAATTTATCTTTTTAAACCTTTTTACTATTGATTTTAAACAATCTTTTATTAAGAGAATTTGTAGTTATATATTATATGTAATAGTTATTTCACGTTTTATCATAGATATCATTAAATGTCACGGATCAATCGAGGTATTGCGGCGCAGCTGCAATGATGAATGATATCGGGATTCTAATGATATCGACAATAAATAAGGTAGATGCCTATTTTGACGCAGCTAACGTTTTCGATAAATATCACATGATATATGGATCAGAACTGGATAATTTTAGTACGGAAAGTCGCCGGACGCAAAAGTATCGATTTTGATAGATCTACGGTAGCTTTTTTGATAGATCTACAACACATCCTAAATCTATGTT